CATCATCATCATCATCATCATCATCTTCTTCTTCTTCTTCTTCTTCTTCTTTTCAATTACTTTTTGGGACTCGCATGTTCGCTTGCATTGCCTTGTGTGTTTAATAAACGCAAAAAGTACTCCATCTTGCTCCTAACCGAGTACTTAATTCGCTGACTTTTTAACACCACTATGACGCAAATGCGAGCCGAGTCCTTCGCAGGTGCACAATGCTGACGTCAAAACCCGAAAAAAGCAAATACGGGCTTTTGAGGAGAAAACATGTCAGGGAAACGATGACGTGAGTTTTGGCCCATCAAAAGTCCTCCAGTCTCCCAATACGCTAAAAGCCGTGCGGAGAGAAACTGCGAAAGACAAAACTTCTCACTCAAGTGCGCATACGAGAAGTTCGAAACTACTTTGGCGCATAAAGATGAAAAAAACGGTTCCACACATTTATGAGAAGACAGCATGGGGGTTGTGTATGTTAGGAGCCGTCCTAACAGGCTTGCTCGCATGTAGTCCTGGCGAGACGCACTTACACCACGCGATTGGTCCACCCACACACACAGAAAGCAATTGGTTATGCAGCGCATAGCTGCAGCTAGGCTAAGCGCTCTAACACGCCAGCCGGAAAGCCAATCGAGTCGCTAATCGCCCGAGGACACAATTTGATGGGTTCGATCTTGTAACACTGGGTTGCTTAAATATCCTGTACTAAGTATGCAACAAAGACTTTCTTTGCTTGGGAGATTAAAACAAAGCATCTGCGAGGGCAAACATCTTGGCTTTTGGCAACATTACAACACTGTGTGGAAGGTCAAAACAGGAAGAAAAGCATGCCAGTGAAAGAAACCTACAGCAGAATATCCAGACAGTGATCATTTCCGCCGCCCATTGAGTCGTAGTAGGTGAGGGTTTTATTCCTCAGATCGGCAGCCTATGCAAAGCGAAAAGCAAACCGAAAACAAGAACGCAGCATTGAGTAACAAGTGTAATAAAACACTATATGACTAAAAGTAAGCACGATTAGATGCCTGAATCTGTTACCAGTACTGCAAACACGGCAACTACAAATACAGCTACCCGTTTCTGCTACTACTTTCTGCTCATGTCTCTGATTAAAAATTCGCGACGGGTGTCGAAACGGCAGGCGAATAAAAGTTTTTTCCCAGCGATCGAACCTTCTTCTCAAGGCCCCCAACGTTCTAACTATTGTCATTACTGTTGTAACGGTAGCCAAGGCTGAGGTGTCACCGCCTATGTACGTCTTGTGTGAGCCCCCAAGGCAGAACACGACAAGAAGTGGGCGAAAGCAGATGTCTTTGAGTGCAATAGGTACAACATATTTAGGACAACAAACACGTGTAATACGATGTCCATCGAGCCAATCAGCGTAGGCGCCGACACGGTTGGCTGGTGACTCAGTGACTGAGTGTAGCTTGAAATTCAAATTATAGATTGATTGTCTGGCATGATGCGTTCGCTCGCGTGTAGACCGATCGATAGCCTACTATTCGCGTGGCTGCTTGCCGCCTGTATGGTAGCCGTTAGGTCCATCCTACCAAGGACTACTCGCTAGCCCCACATCTTTCCTCCAGAAATGTGGATTTTCATCTGGCAACTACCTCTGCATCTCCAGAGTTGTAGCCCCTGTCCTGTGCAAAATTTATCCTTGACATGTCCGGAACAAGTTTATCCTAAAATTTTGACCTACCCACAAGATTTTTTCAAATTGTTTAAACAGGTCTTTTAGGATATCCTCTCTATAATATTCGCCATTCACTCGTTGACCCTATGGCAGAACGCCAAAGACTAGCGAAAGCTGTGGAGACACCGATAAAATAAACCAGATAATCCCCCAAGGCAAGTGGGGGACAGATTTTTGAACAAGAACAAGAACACTAAAATGAACAAAGGAACTGTGGCGCCTTTAATTCAGATTCTCCGATTAACTTGGAGCTTTTTTTATAGTCACGCAAGCGACATTTGGCTCACATTTATAAAGAGAAGTATATTTAAGTTTAGTAGGGCAACGAGCGCTAAGTTTGTAAAGTAATCGAACGAAACGCTTTAAACCTATCTGATTTATGAACATAGTAATCTAGTTAACCAAAAAACAGTGG